TTGCATGTCACGCTTATACTTCAGACAAGCCTTGGATGTGTTTTCTCTCTAATTTGAAACAATTGATTTGTCTTTCAGGTATAGAAGCCAAGAAAAACGTGGTGGTGACTCAGGCTGACCGAATGGGCCCTCTCCCCAGCACATTGGTAAAGACGGTGGATTGGCTGCTTGTATTTTCCTTATTCTTTTTAATTAGTTTTATTATGTATGCTACCATCCGGACCGAGAGCATTCGGTGGCTGATTCCAGGACAAGAGCAGGAGCATGTGGAGTAGAGACACAACTCAAGGGAGAGGAGGCATCCGGCCGGACTTACAGTCATGGGCATTTCCTCCCCTGAAGCGCTGACTTGCAGCGGAAGTCAGAGTCAAGAATCATGTTCTTGTTGAACTACTGAAAGGCTAAAAGGATGTGACATTTAAATGTGTTTTTACTGTGACAATTTGCAGATGAAAAAGTATTCACTAGAATTGACTGTTCCTGTTTCCAATACTTGAACATAATGAATTTCTCTCCTGGTGTCCCTAAGCAGGAAAGAGTTTTGGGAGAGGAGTAACTAGGGTGGCTGTGGGCCTGTAAGTAGCACCTGATGAAAAATAAAAAGTCACGTGCCCCTTGTTTTGTGAACTGTGCATTCTCTGAAAGAATTCAAGGAGATTCCACTTGTTTCTAAGTGGCAGATTTTAGGAAAAAAACATTCTAATTTAAACATGTTAACTTTGTGCTAGATCATAAGCCTTAGTCAGTTTATATAACCAGTGTGCATTATTTGAACCTTAAAATTCTGAATACTGAGCCGGGTGGTAGTTGTGCACGCCTTTGATCCCAGCACTTAGGAGTCAGAGGCAGGGGGATCTCTGAGTTCAAGGCCAGCCTTGTCTACACAGTGAGTTCCATGGTGGCCAGGGCTACCGAGAAACTCGATTGAAAAACCTAAACAAACCAACCAACCTCTGAACACTGAGCTGGGTTGAGATGCAAAGGAAGTATAACACTTCTTGCCTGAAGGTTGAGTCTAGTCTAGTTTAGGATGCATTTAGAACAGAGATAGCACAGCTGCTGAGATGAGGCTTAGCACATAAAGATGCTTGCCACCAAATGTGAGGAAGACCTGAGCTGAATCCCTGCTCCACATGGTAGGAAGAGAGACCTGAGCTCCTCGTGTACACCATAGCATGCGCCCCTCATACACTTATAAAAGATAAAAATTTTTATAGAGACAACATATTGTTATGATATTGCTCCTGGGGGACCCCCAGCTGGCCAGACAAGGGAGTCCCACGCGTGAGGGAAAACATGCTGGGCAGATGTAGTGGCGGCCGGCCAGCGGTGGGCAGCGGCACTTCATTCACAATCCAGGCACTGCATCCGCATGGAAATGAGTTTATTGTAATAGAGAGATGAAGAGAAAAATAAAGAGGGAAAGACAGAAAGAAGGGGGGGGGGGGTTGAAGGTGCATACCTCGTGGGAATGGAGAGAGAGAGTGGAGAGAGAGAAGGGTGGGGTTTTTCCTTAAATCAGGCATTTACATCAGGACGCAGGGCTGCCCCAAGGGGCGGGTCAGAGTATTAACACATGTAATTTATACAAACCTTTTTATTATCATTATTATTGTTACTATTATTGGTTCTTAGAGACAGGGTTTCTCTGTGTAGCCCTGGCTGTCCTGGAACTTGCTCTGTAGATCAGGCTGGCCTCAAACTCTGAGATCCACCTGCCTCTGTACTTTGTGTTTTCTGAGACAGGGTCTCATGCAGCCTTGGCTGGCCTGGAGCTTGCTATGTAGGCAGAGCTGGGCTCGAACTCATGGAGATCCTTCTGCCTCTGCCTCCCAAGTGCTAGAATTAAAGGCATGTACACCATGCCTTAATAAATTACTTTTATACTAATTGCTTCCAGTGTTTGACATTAGTTCAGTCTGTATAAAATACTCCTCACTCTGTAGAAATACAGTGTCATATTGAGAGCTGTCGTGAACAGCCCTGCTGGGTGTCCACTGGAGAAGGACCGTGACTCAGATACCATTATGTCTGTTTACAGATGAGCAAACTGAGGCTGAGAATGGTTACCTAACTTGCCCAGCTTATAAAGACAGTCAGTTGAGAGCCTTGGCCTATAATTACACATCTGCGAGAGAAACAAACCAACTGAAAACCTTAGTGAGTCCAGTAAGTCTACTTACTCTGACAGTAACATCTGAGTCAGTACTGTGCGAATACCATACTGATTCAGTTATCTGGATAACTCTGAGATCACTGCTATCAAATGTCTTCATTTCAAATGTAAACTGAAGCTTGGAATAACTCACGGTTGGCTGTGCAGCTTTCGGACCTTTGTTGTAGGATTTGTGGTGTTTAGTTCTTTGGAATCTTGAGATGTAGCTCAGGCTGGCCTTGGACTGTGGCTCCCCTGCCTCTGGCTCTGACTATGAGATTCCAGGTGTGTGCCACCACACTTGGCTCCAAGCCTAGAAGGATGGTTCTGCCGTATTCTATGGCACAGCCCGGGTGACCTTCGAAAGTGTTTACCTCTGGCCTTCCTCCAGCATGTTGTAGTGATAATCGAATTCAGCATTGTTTCAGGTACTTTTTGTCGTGATAAAACAACCAAAAGTGAGATATGGAAGAAAGAGTTTATTTTAGCTTATGGTTCCAGATAGAGTGGGGAATGTTGGGAAAGGCACGGATAGGGAGGTGAGAGATCTCTGTTTCAGCTGCAAACAGGAAGCGGAGAGAGTGAACTGGACGTGGGCAAGGCTGCAAACTCTCAAAACCTGTCCCCAGTGGCACTTCCTCCAGCAAGGCTCCACCCTCTGAAGGCTCCACAACCTCTCCAAACAGCTCTACCAACGGGGAGCAGGTGTTCAAATACCCTAGCCAGTGAGGGACGCCCTCCTTCAAACCACAAGCACCTTTAATCTTTGTTATTTTTTGAGACCTTCTGTGTGCTCTTTAAAATAATGAAGTTTTGGAACTTTATGGGTGTCTTACTTGCGTGTATATGCATCATGTGTGTGCCTGGTCTTCCGGAGGCTAGAGGAGGGTCTCAGATCTCCTGGAACTGGAGTTGCAGACAGTTGTGAGCTGCCATATGGGTGCTGGGAATCGAACCCAGGTTCTCTGTAAGAGCAGCAAAGTGCTCCTAACCTCTGGCCATCTCTTCAGACCTGAGAGTCTTTTTTAAAAACAATTGAAAGTGTGTGTGTGTGTGTGTGTGTGTGTGTGTGTGTGTGTGCAGCTCAGAGGACAACTTGTGATGACCGCTCTCTTTTCCACCAGTGGGGACCTGGGGACCAAACTTAGGTCAGCTTCATGGAGCTTCTGGGAACTTCTTGGGTGAACTCAACACACACAGATCCTCTGCTGGATGATGATGTCACTTCCCTAGGCCCTAACGTCCTTCTCTTGCGGCTTTAGAACGAGGTTTGCCATGGTGTCAGACGGCTGTTAAGGAGGGAAAAGGATGCAGCACTACTTCGCTAACACACCTTCCACATCATTTTCAGTTCTCAGCTCTTCTCTCCCTCCTCTTCCAGCGTGTAGGCAGGCTGGTGTCAAACGTCAAATCCTCCTGCCTGTGCTCCAGAATGCTGATTCCAGGTGAGTACCACATGCCCTGAAGGGACCCTCACTTAATATGCAAACTTCAAGAATATTTTCCATGATCATAAACACTCGGTGAAAATACTAGAAACAAGACTTTTAGTTTTGTTTCTCCTTCTCCTCCTCTTCTTGTTCTTTTTTTTTTCCCCCAAGACAGGGTTTCTCTGTGTAGTCCTGGCTGTCCTGGAACTCACTCTGTAGACCAGGCTGGCCTTGAACTCACAGAGATCTGACTGCCTCTGCCTCCTGAGTGCTAGGATTAAAGGCTTGTGCCACCACTGCCCAGAAATAAGACTTTTAATTCTATCCCTGGCACCTCATCCTTAGACATGAGCCTATAGAAACCCACACTGTCACCCAAGTTACTTCAAGTCAGTTCTGCCGGACCAGCGCCCTCAGACTGAACAGTTTTTCTTTTCCAGATTGTTACATCTTGTCAATCAGGCAAAAACAGGGTCAAGACTGAAGTCTAAATTTTAGGCTATTTTGAGGCTTTATTTTGTTCTAAGTCCATTTGGGATATAAGACTGCTAACAATTGTGAAATCAGTCTTAAATGAACTCTTTAGTAATGTATCTTTTTGCCAAATTCTCGGTAAAACTGATAAAAATAAGGAAATATGCGTTTTTGAGAAGGTCTTACTATGTAGTGGGTCTGGCTGGCCTACAGCTCTCTGGGTAGCCCAGTCTGGCCTCTAATTCCCAGCCATCCGTCTGTCTCCACCCCCAGAGTTCTGGGATTGAAGGTGTGTGCCACCAAGCCTGGCAAACTGATGATGTGCTAATTTAGAAAACATAACGGAGCCAGGTTTGGTGGCACACGTCCATAATCCCCAGCTCCTGGAAGGTGGAGGCGGGTGTTCAAGGCCAGCCTCTGCAATGTTGTACTTGGCTATGTGGAACTGTTACAAGAAAGGAATACAATAAAGTTACTTAGTAAAAAAATCAAAAGGATGGCCAGGCGGTGGTGGCGTACGTCTTTAATCTCAGCACTCAGGAGACAGAGGCAAGCAGATGTCTGAGTTCGAGGCTAACCGGGTCTACAGCGTGAGTTCCGGGACAGGCGGGTCTACACAGAAACCCTCTCTCAACCAAAACCAAAACCAAAACCAAACCAAACCAAAAAGATACAAGCTGAACTAAAAGCCACAGCAACATTTTAATCAAAACTCATCACAGCCGGGCAGTGGTGGCGCACACCTTTAATCCCAGCACTCGGGAGGCAGAGGCAGGCGGCTCTCTGTGAGTTCGAGGCCAGCCTGGTCTCCAGAGCGAGTTCCAGGGCAGGGCTCCAAAGCTACACAGAGAAACCCTGTCTCGAAAAACCAAAAAAAACAAAAAAACAAAAAAACAACAACAAAAAAAAACCAAAAACAAAAAACCCCAAGACAAAAACCCTCACCACAATGTTAAAACCCTGGCCCCACACCATTTTAAAGGGTGAATTTTATTGTCAATTACATCTGAAGAAAAAGAATGGCAAAAGAATAATAAAGATTAATACACACACACGGCATATAAAAGAACACGTCTCCACACGTGGGAGGCAATTCGCCTCCACCGGTCCTGGCCCGTCTCGGGTCTCTCAGGGAGGGTGTACCTGTGCATGCAGGACAGTCCATGCAGGAGCAAGCTCAGCTTCCAAGACCACCGAGCACGCAGGGGTGGCCCCACGCGGCGAGCACCGGCGGGCGCGGCAGCCATCCCGCTCCGGGGGCCTTCGGAGCCTGGGCCGCGTCAGGCAGCGCGCCGGGCAGCCCGGGGCCATGGCGGCGGCGGCGGCGGCGGCGGCGGCGGGAGCGCGCGGCGCCCTCCGGGGGTTGGCGGCGCTGCGCGGCCGGGGTGCGAGCCGGGCGGCCATGGTGAGTGCGGCCGGTGCGGGAGAGCGGGCTCGGCTGGGTGGGCGCGGCTGCGCGCGCAGACCCGCGGCTCCCACGCTCCCACTTGGCGGAGCGCCGTGCACACGCCTTCGCCCCTGCACCGGGCAGGCAGAGGCCGGAGGACGCGTGTGAGTTCGAGGCCAGCCACGGCTACGTGGGGGCACCTGTTACAAAACAACACCCCAAGCCACTTCCGTCGTAGTTTATGAACTTGCGCACCGGAAACAATCTCGTGTAAAAAAAAAAAAAATTCTAAATGCGAAGATTAGTGATGGGCCGTGGTCATCCTGTGTGCTGCGGGCAGTCCCGGGGAGGCTCCTAAGGGGCCACCTCGCTGGGTAGTCTTGGTCGTGAGCTTTAGGAAGACATTAGTAAATTGCCTTTCTCCCCACGTTTTTGAACGGTACACCGGTTTTTCTCACCACTTCTATAGAGGACATTTTAGTTTTCTTACTTCGGACATTAGTATTTTGGCGGTGCGTTGTGGCCTGTCATTTCTGTGCCTAGCGAGGCTGAGGCAGGAGGATTATTGGGAAGCCAGCGAGGAACACGGCGAGATCATCTGGGAGGGGGTTTGGAGGGATGGGTTAGAGGGAGCGCAAATTGAGGGGAAGTTTTAACAGGCAGCTCCACCTAGTGGAGAATGTAGCATGAAGCTCACCGTTTCATTTACAAGCGCTTATTAGACCCCTTTGAAAATTACGAATAAGTCAGAGACATGATTTATATTCCTGTAAAATTTCTATGGTGAATTTCCTAAAACATTTTTTCTTATATTACACAGTAGAATTGTTGAAGTCAGAAGATTTATTGCTGATAACATCCATTGTTTTTGACTAATTACTTAGAGAAAAAAATTTTTTTTTCTGGTGTAATCCAGGACCAGTTATTGCATTTGGTTAACATGTTTTTTATTATTAATTTAGTTAAAATAATTTTCATACAGGTGTCTATGTGTGTGTTCAGGTACACGAAACATAGTCTCCTGCGCCCTGCCCCTTGTTTTCTTTCTTCCAATAAAAGAAGGAAGGAAATTTCATTTTGTTTGTTTTTCATGAGCTAGGTCTCATGTAGCTGAGGCTAACCTTGAACTCTGGATACAGTTCTGTTGTGGAATATTACTTTAACTATGTAAAGATATGTTACATTTGTTTATGTTGTGGAATATTACTTTAACTATGTAAAGGTGTGTTACATTTGTTTATGTTGTGGAATATTACTTTAACTATGTAAAGGTGTGTTGCATTTGTTTATGCTGCATTTTTTGTTTGTTTGCTTGTTTTTTGAGACAGGGTTTCTCTGTGTAGTTTTGGTGTCTGTCCTGGACCTCGTTTTTTAGACCAGGCTGGCCTCGAACTCTCAGAGATCCACCTGGTTCTGCCTCCCGCGTGCTGGTATTAAAGGCGTGCACCACCTCTGCCTGGCTGCATTTGTTTAATTGTGTAAAGATGTGTCGCTGTTTCACCTTGCCTGCCTAAGGCACCTGACTGGTCTAATAAAAAGCTGAACAGCCAGTAGCTAGGCAGAGGAGGGATATGCAGGGCTGTCGGGCAGGGAGACTAAGTAGAAGAGAAGAGAGGGGGAGAAAGGGAGAAAAAGAGGGAGACGCTGGGAGCCAGCCAGCCGCCAGCCACGGAGGAAGCAGGAAAGTAGGACACACCCTCAGCAGAACCCTCTGTTTGGAGGTTTTTTATTGTTTTACTTTCTAAAGATTTATTTACCTTTTTGTTTTGTTTTTGTTTTTTGAGACAGGGTTTCTCTGTGTAACAGCCCTAGCTGTTCTAGAACTCACTTTGTAGACCAGGCTGGCCTTGAATGCACAAAGATCTGCCTGCCTCTGCCTCCCCAGTGCTGGCATTATTTATTTACTTTTATTTTATGTAAGTGTTTTGCTTCATGTATGTATGTTTCGGGTCCCCTGAAGTGAGCTACAGTTGTGAACTGCCATGTGGGTGCTGCGAGTTGAACCCAGGTCCTCTGGAAGAGCAATCAGTGCTCTTAACCACTGAGCCATCTCTCCAGCACACCCCCCCCCCCCACGCCTGCTATCAATTCTTAACATTAAATGCTTGTTTTGAATTACTTGGTTTTTTTCCCCCCTTCTTTTTGAGATAGGGTTTCTCTGAGTAATCCTGGCTATCTTGGAACTCACTCTGTAGACTAGGCTGGCCTCAAACTCAGAGATCCACCTATCTCTGCCTCCTGCATTGCTGGGATTGCTTATTTTGAATGACAAGACTTAAAATGTTTTTGCTTAAGATATATTATCATTCCCCCTTTTGTAGTGGGAGAAAGTAGCTGCTTTTTCAGGGAGGAAAAAGCTAAAAAATGGTCTCATTAACATCCTCCCCTTCCCCTTCATAGGACAAGTTGCCAAAAGGTAAAAATGTGTGTACCTTTTTTTTTTTTTTTTGACACAGGGTTTCTCTGTGCAGCCCTGGCTGTCCTGGAACTTGCTGTCTCTAGACCAGGCTGACCTTGAACTCACAGAGATCTGCCTGCCTCTGCCTCCCAAGGGCTGTGATTAAAAGTGTACACCACTGCCGGGCGGTGGTGGCGCACGCCTTTAATCCCAGCACTCGGGAGGCAGAGCCAGGCGGATCTCTGTGAGTTTGAGGCCAGCCTGGACTACCAAGTGAGTTCCAGGAAAGGCGCAAAGCTACACAGAGAAACCCTGTCTCGAAAAACCAAAAAAAAAAAAAAAAAAGTGTACACCACTATCGTCTGGCGTTTGTACCTTCTTAACTGTATTAATGTCTGTGACAGCAAGTTTGAGGATTTTAGAAGTGGGAATGAGTTGCAGCTTCATGTTTAGAGTCCAGAGCCTGCAGCTCCACCCCTCCCCCAGCGCCTTCAACATTAGCTCAGTCTAGGTCTCACCAGAGCCTACAGTCACCCTGCAAGGAGGTGAGGTGGTTACGCTGGAGTGAGAAGCTGTGTTCATAGTTTACAGTAATGTGTCCACGGTGTTTAATGTTTTAGCTAGCAGAGGAAGGTACAGGATGAAGGACAGTTGCTACTGTCACTGGAGAGCAGGAATGAGGTGGACAGCGCAGGCAGGTACTGTGCATGTTCTGGGTGCTCCAGCGACACATGAAGGGAGTTGGTTTCTCTGGTGCTCTTGTTATCAAGGCAAGGACTTTTTGCCTGTGGAAGAGGGGCTGTGGACCACCCAGAGGTGGTTATAGGAAATTCCATGGAAATATACACTTGGTTCCACCCTCTCTAGAGGGGTTTTCATTGTATACGAAAGGGAATAGACACCCTCAGTAGTTCAACCCACTCAGTGAGCTGCAGACAGGAGGTGATGGAAGTCCATCCAAAGGACAGCAGACCAGGGTTAGAGCCCTGAGTTCTGGTCCTGGGCCTCCCAGCAGCTTCCCTAGGGAGTTGGTTTTGCCTCGGTTGCACATCCTGGAACTCTGTAGCATCTAAGAAGGCCAGTGGCAGTAGTAGGCTTAGTTGTAGCTGTTAGAAACCAGAGTTGCTGAACTGTGGGGTCTGAGGCAGCACTCGGGTAGAGACAGGACAACAGCCATTTTCTTTTGGACAGCCCACACAGAGTTTGCCTATCTTTAAAAAATTTTTTTTTCAAGACAGAGTTTCTTTGTGTACCTCTGGCTGTCCTGGAACTCACTCTGTAGACCAGGCTGGCCTTGAACTCACAGAGATCTGCCTGTCTCAGCCTCCGAGTGCTGGGATTAAAGACATGCGCCACCACCGCCTGGCTGAGTTTGCCTGTCTTTTGAGAGTAAAGGATGAGAGATGGCTAGAATTTGTTACCCTTGAGACTTTCTTTCCATATTGCTAAAGAGGTATAAGTTTATGGAAAGAGTTTAGATAAATGCTGGCCCTTTCAGACAAGAGATGTGTTTTCTCCCCAGTCTTCAGGTGCACAGTGGCTGACAGCAGAGGAGAGGAACCAACTTATTCCTGGCTTGAAAGCAGCAGGATGGTCGGAATTAAGTGGGAGAGATGCCATCTACAAAGAGTTCATCTTCAAAAATTTTAATCAGGTAATTCCTGTGAATTACTGGTGTGCCAGGCTCTGTTTTTGTCACCAGCGCTGTTAGGTTTCTGTGACTACCGCTTGTCTGGTCCTATGTGGACTAGGAGCCACACCTCTCTTCCTTATGAATTCAGTGACAAAGACAGTCCCTGCTGACTCAGGCAGGCCTAGCTCTGGGGGAAGGGTTGATTCTGTGGTACTTAGAAATCAGCACTGTGTGGCAGTACACACCTGTAATCCTAGTGTTTGGGAAACTGAGACAGGATTGTGAATTCAGGCTTAGCCTGGACTACATGTGAGTTCCAGCCTGACCTAAATCGCAAGACCTTGTCCAACACACACATATGCACACGCACATGCACACACACACACACACACACACACACACACACACACACACACAGAGAGAGAGAGAGAGAGAGAGAGAGAGAGAGAGAGAGAGAGAGAGAATGAAAATGAATATCAGATTCTGAAGCCACTATAGCTTTAATTTGGGGTTGGGTAAACTATTTAGTCTTTTTCTGTGTTTTAAATAACACTAAATGAGGGTGTGAGCGTTTTTCTGTATATTAGAAGGGTGTGTGGAGAGGCCAGTTGAGAAACACAACCTGCTTGCTTTCTCTACTTTTTCAGGGCACTTAAAAAAACCTCATAGTTGTATTTTTGCCTCTACACCCTCTCTTAGCTGTATCTCTTCCCAGTTCCTGCCCCCCTCCTAGCCTGGTATCCAGCCCTTGACATTTTCTCCAAATCTGACCTCCCCGCTGGAGACTCAGCCTTCCTAGGTAACTGTTCCATTCGGGCCCACCCTGTTCAGAGAGTCATCTCCCATGACTTAGCCTTCGTGATTACTCCACTGCATTGTGTAAGGTAAATGCTTCTGACTAGCTCATGTTTGCTCAGTTACTTTAGTAATCCTTTGGACAGATTTATTGTTTTTATTTATGTTAGGTGTTGGCATCTAGGAGTCAGGGAGCATGTTTGCTTAACTCTCCATTGTACCCAGCATGGTTCTGAGTACAGACAGGCATTGATTACAGTGTAGACATTGATTACAGTGTTTGCTGGTTTCCACGAGGGTGTGCAAGCACCGGATTCCCACCGAAGGAACCCTTAGCACGTTTTCCTGGTAAATGCCATTGGCTCTGCTTCGTTGCCTGCCCTGGTCTGTTTGTCTGTCATCTGGCTGCCAGCCATTTGCTGTAAGTCCCCAACTCCTGAGAAACCCTGGACCAAACCGACTCCCTGTTCCTGCTGCCTTGTGCACTCCGCAGCCCTTGTCAGGGACTCAGCACTCTGTGACTGGCGGCAGGGCATCTCGAGGGTACAGTGAGCTGTACGTAGCTCCAGGTAGCCTTTTCCAAGCTTATTAAAATTCTTACTGTGTACAGCTTGACTTCTTTAAGCCTGGGCTAATTTATTGGGCTTGAACATGTGGCTTAAAGTGCTAGAGCGGTGTTGCCTCAGGCTCTGTCCTGAGTTGGTCCTCCAGCACTGCTGTGGCCTGGGTGGGAGGGCAGCTGCGCAAAAGGCATCTTGGAGTAACCGTGCCGTTACTCACCATGACGTTTCACTGCCTGGACTTTTCCCTCCAGTTTTTAGGAAGGGGAACCAGCATCAACATTACATCCTGGCCTCACTTCTCAGCAGGCCCTGTGACTTCTACCTGGATAGTGGTCTGTGCTGGCACTGGTGTCATGACCAGCTCTCACTGCCCACACACAACCAGAACACACCCATAACTAACAAGTTGGGCGCCATTGCTCATTGCAGAGAGGGAGGACACACTGTGCTGATCTCAGGAAGACAGCGTTGAAGACCTGGTGGTGAAATTCTGCTTGCACTAGCAGCTTTGGAATGTTCTGAGGAGCCAGCTTTGCCCTTGATGGGGTATTGTCAGAAAAAAGGGCAGGTCTGTGATTCAGCACTTTATGAATCTCGCCTTTAGGGAGATTAGCCAAAGAAGGAGCCAGGGCTAAACAGACTAAAAAGAGAAAGAAGCATTAGCCAGTAAGCAGTGGCGTTCAGTGTGCGGCACTGAGGCCTCATGCCTGTCTGTGTGCAGAAGTTGTCATAGAGTTCACTGCTTTTCCTAATTCATGATGGTTGCAGAAGGACTCTGCTGTTAATGCTGTGTTCAAGAGGGGAGTACCTGCTGGTGCGGTGCTACATCTGTAGTCCTAGCACTTAGGATACTGAGGCAGGAAGACCACAGTGTGAGGTCAGCTTGGGCTATGACGAGGGTCTCTGTTCCAACGAATAAACCAGAACATGGGCTGACGAGATGGCGCGGCAGGTAAAGGTACTTGCTGCTAACCCTGATGACCTGAGTTCAGTCTCCAGGAATCACATGGTGGAAGAAGAGAACTACTCCCTAAAGTTGTTCCCTTGCACTCTAGCACACACGCACACACACACACACACACACACACACACACACACACACACACACTACAATAACAACAACAAAACCTTAAAGAATCCACCAAGGCAAGAAAGAGGAGACCCCAGGCCAGCTTCCAGACACAGCCGCCGCCTTCCTTCTGCTGCAGCCCGAGAGCAAGCCAGTGACGCTGACAGGGCCTCACTCACCTTCATCGTTTTTTTTTCTGAGACCCGGTTTCTCTGTGTAGTTTGGTGCCTGTCCTGGATCTCGCTCTGTAGACCAGGCTGGCCTCCAACTTGCAGAGATCCTCCTGGCTCTGCCTCCAAAGTGCTGGGATTAAAGGTGTGTGCACCACTGCCCAGCCAATCTTTGAGTTTTATAAGTAGCACACTCCTTAACTCTCTGCGTACTTAAGCACTGTCTCTGTGGTTGGCATTACTCTAAGCTTGGGAACCTCCCAGTCCAGTGGAGAAAACAGATGCTAAGCAGAGGAGTAGGAGATGTGGTCTGAGCTCATGGAGGGCTCCGTGAAAAACTAGACCGGATATTGAATAAAGGGCAAAAACCAAGGCATTGTTTTTTTTCTGCTGGGGTTTGAACCTAGGACCCTGAACATGGAGGGCTTATGCTCTGCCACTGAACTACCTACCCCACCAGCCCAGGGGGAGGCCATCTTTAAGATCACACAGTCTCTCTGGGGAGAGAACCCAGGGAGACTGATTGACATGAAAGGGCTTAGTATGTGAGGATCTATGGAAAGAACATTCCAGGTGGAGAAGACAGATTTCCTCATGAAAATAATCTCCAACGATGGGATGAGAACCAGAAGGGTAGTGTTCTAGAGTGGACAGAGAGAAGGCAGGGCTCTGGGACCTTGTTGGCTTTGTTCTACAAAGGACAGATGCCAGAGGATTGCAAGTACAAAGACTTGGCTTTTGTTCTAAAACAAACAACAACAACAACAAAACTTGGTCCAGTGCCTCTGCCAAGGATCATTGGAAAGAGGGAAGCAGGCTAACTGCCTGGACTCGGTTGGAATGGTCCAAGCCAGAGCCAGAGAGTGGACGCAGCAGTGGAGCTGGAGAGAAATGGACAGGGCGATTTCCCGTAGGTTTGAAGACAGATATCAAGACTGTAAAGAGCTGGGGCCATAGCCAGTGGTACAGTTGCCTGCCTGGCATGCACAAGGCCCTGGGGTCCACCCCAGCACCACACACATATAGGAAGGAGAGAGAGAGACTTGCAGATGGATTTGATGTGGGGTGAGGGTGAGAAGGTCTTAAGGATGACCCCAAGGTTTTGGTTCAAGCTGTAAGATGGAGGAGGATGTGACTGGTCCCTCATGCTGAGCTGCAAAGTCAGGGGATGGCGGAGCGGGGGAAGGGACTCAGAGCCTGTTGTGTGTACATCAGGGGCGAGACACTGTCATTCAGCTGGAGAAACCAGTTATGAGGTCAGAACTCAGCCGAGATGACAGTTTGAGAATTACCAGACGGTAGTGGTGAAAGCAGGTCCAGGTTAGCAAGAGGGGTAGAACTGGAGTGGCCGTGCAGGCACAGGGCCAGTTTGTCATTGCATTAGGAAGGACATTCATCCTAAGAAGACACAACTCTCTTCTGATTGTGTCTCTTCTTTTGGTGAGGCCTTTGACTGCTAGCAAGAGGCATTGGGGGTCTAGGGAGATAACAAAAGGAAGAGTCACCTTGGAGTTTAAGGTAATGAGCTAACTAGGGAGAGGTGGCTGATGCTGGGACATTTGTAGTGCCATTAAAGATGATGGTGTGTAGCCAGACACTTCTCTCTGTCCTACCCCAGTCCCACGGTCCTGTGGTCCTGCAGCTGCTTTTAAAATAATCACTTAGAGGCTTAATATTAATTACACACTGTTGGGTCTGTGGCTCATGCTCATTGGTAGCTAGCTCTTTCATCTGAAATCAGCCCGTTTCTGTTAGTCTGTATTTTGTCACGTGGCCATGGCGTTATTGGTCTGCTGGCATCTTGGTCCTTGGGCAGCAGGATGGCATCTCCTTGACTCCGCCCTCTTCTCCCTGTGTGCCTGCTTGGATTTCCCACTGGCTCTATTCTGCCTTGCCATAGGCCAAAGCAGCTTTATTTATTAACCAATGGGAGCAACACATATTCAGAGTACAGAAAGACACCCCACAGCAATGGTGCAGCTTTCAAAGTGAAGATTTTGTTCTATCCAGCTGTGTTCAGCTGCATGGACACAGGCTTGGAGTAGATACTGGGTTGGGCTGAAAAAAAAAAAAGGACAGCTGAATTTTGTGCAGACAAGTACCATGGAGTAATAGAAGGGCAAGGGAAGTAAAGGTGGGTATAAACTGTTGGCCCTTGGAGTCCAGGCTGCTGAGACATGCAGTAGTGAAGAGGAGATGGATACAAAGAGCTGGGAGCTGAAAGAATCTTTCTGGAGCATATAGTAGTTAGCCTTGTCAGTTTTTAAAAATTATATTCTATTTAATGTGTGTGTGAGGGGGTGGGCATGCATATACTATGGGACGTGTGTGTGTGTGTGTGTGTGTGTGTGTGTGTGTGTGTGTGGTGTGGTGGGCATGCATATACTATGAGACGTGGGGGTGGGCATGCATATACTATGAGAC